TTTTCAGTAAATTGTGTTGACATGGTGGGGTGACATAACGTGTAACTTCTAGGAGAGGTTACATACGTCAACATACTGTTCGTACACGCTGGCCAGGCAGTATTAGTGGACGTGGCGTAACACTTTCACACGTCGAATTAACCTTGTGTGAAATAGTTGTGATGATGAAAAAAGGCTTCTCCTTTTCTCGTTCGAAAGTGGACTGTATTTGTTGAATATTGAGTGAAAAGAATGTGTATTTGTATACAAACTGTGGGTGTTGTCCAGTGAGTACAGCGTGATTAGTAATGACCTTGTGATTATATGTCTGTCTCTCTATATATATAAAAATACCGATATAGGGCGGTGTCCTTAGTGACAAATCAGAAGGCTAAAACGCTCGGGGTGTTGCTAATTACAGTTTTTTAACCTACGCCCACATTACTTTTAGTGGAGGTAGGGTGTACGTCGTCCCTTCTGACCTGCAAGGGTACCGGTGGCCGTGCGCTCGGGGTTTAAGTGGTTGAACTGCCGTTTTTTTTATGATATGTTAGCTTCGACAGCTGGTCATTTATTACATCGGATGTACAAATTGCAGCTAGCAATAAAATGCTTCCAAAATTTACTTATTACTGTGTTACTTAGACATGAGCGATCATAATTGTTCATGCCATACATCTTTACGCACCAATAGCTGCGTCTCAACCAAATAAACCACGCCGGAACACATACATATGTCTAATTGTTTTAGTGTGAACACATGTATGATGAAGCTAATGAATAAAAACTACTTAAAACTATCAGGTAGATCAAACGAATAATATCTTTCCAACTTGCGATTGAGTTTATATATGGTGAGTAGATCGGCGATTAAGAGATTTGATTAATTAAATGAGAGTTATAACGATTACATACTAAAATTTTAAATTCATACTTTCACGGACTCTATCTTTACATTCGGATGAATTCTCTCATTTTTAACATACCAAGGAGTATCGCAGATAAATCGTAAAATCTTGGATTAGAAACGTTGAACAATCTTAATATTAAAATTATCAGCAGTACCTCATAACTAGATTTCGTATGTCCAGTCGGTTTTGAGTTAGTTAGATTTTCTATCGATCAGCTAGTAGAATCTTTTAACTTTCTGTTTAGGAAATGCAGATTTCAGAGAGCTTGAGAGCTTCACATTACCTACTAATTTTGGTTCGTCCCCTGTGTCCAGCAAATAGAAAGTTGTTATAGGCAAAGTGTTGAATGTCTGCACATTTCTGAATTTATCATTATTAAATGTAGTAACTGGCAGTCTAAAGTGAGATTCGTCTTTTAGTTTTTCTCGGCTGTTTAAAAAGTATTTGTGTAAAAACAGTTGTGTCCAAGAAAAACTTAATTTCTATGTCTTTTTCAATCTGTTGTTAAGTGTTTGGACTGTCTTACCACACTATCGGCGGGAAGGGTATTAATACCTTTTCCACAGACTGGCGCTTATCGGCGGTAGTAAGGTATCATTAATACCTTTTATGCAGAACGTACGCTAAGTGTCAGTGAAACACTTACCAATGCTTGTTTTTTTTCATTGTCAATAATTTTTAGGCAGGGATTATGTTTTTGGTTGTTTTCCGTAAAGCCTGACCAGTATTTAATCCTAAATTTATTAATTTTTAAGAAAAACTAATAATTTTATGAAATGTGCTATTTTGACACTGCAAGTTTCGTGCTTACAAAGTAAATAAAATTACTATATAAGAAACTGAATAATAAAATAATCCTAAACATTATTACGCTTTTCTCTTACTAGATGAACTTTTAAAACTTTCAAAAATTAACAGTTATTGTTTGGTCCATGTTATACATTAAATGAATTTTTTTTTTAAATTTCATCTACATCTTCAAAATACTATGTGATACCTATTTTACAAATTTCATTGAAATCCTACTATTAGATGTAAAGATATTACATGTTTTCTAAAAAGTGCACTTTTTTCATACTTCACTAATTATCGCCCGCTATACGTGTGAGTCAAGCTAATGATGTTACCCGCCGATAGTGTGTTAATATTTGACGCAAAATGCTGTCGCATAATGTTCGTTGACTTTATGCTTTTCACTATTTGTAAGTGTAGGCTAGCATATGACATTAAAGTTTTTTGTGTAACAATGACTTTCGTAAAAAACAATATCAGCCTGATTACTCTTTTGATAGACTACGTTAAAATACATTATCGTATATAATATTGGATGCGCCATCAGTAGCTAAAGACGGGAAATACCGCAGATACAAATATTTTGAATTATCTTAAATTTGCCTGATGCACAACAAGGGAGAGATAAGAAAAAATATTAACATGTGCTAATCTTAGTGGAACAAAATGATATGACATTACGATTCTTTTGCAATAATATTGTATTAACCATTTGCACTCGGAAGTTTTTCATTAGAAATATTTTAACATTTTCTGATGAGATAAAGACGACATTTTTTGAAACTAACTTGAAGAGAAATCACACGTACATTGAGGAACAAAGTTATTTTATTTCAATATTTCTCAAATTGATGCATTATACAAAGTATAATATTAAATATCAAATTTTATAGTTTTACTGTATGAAATCAAGTGGTGATTGGGAGTCACCTCTCGAGTGCAAAGGGTTAAATAAAATGTTAATATACAGAAGAATCTCCCGGTCATTGTATAATATCTAGGAATTGATTCAGAATAGTTTTATATAATTTTTTTATTAAAAGCGTTCTAATTTCCAATAACTTCACTTTTTAATTCATTGACGTTATTATATTGTTGTCTATCTAGTACGTAAACCTCTTTTGAACAGTCATATTTCTTTAATCGAATAACTGTTTTATTGATTTTGCGGTGGGGACAGCGGCATTATCTTGCTAAAAAAGCATCATTTTGCTGCTTGTGATCCGAATTTCATACTTTCGAGACGCCTACTCTCCACGTCTCTATTCCTGACCGAGCCTTGGGACGAAGAAATCAGACGACCGATGACAAAGATGTGCAGAAACTGAGCCGTCATAAGTATCAGGCCGAGCGTCGCGAGTGGACGTCTCGTCTTGCCCCTGTGCACATTAAGCCTTAAATCGGCAGCAACAACGTGACAGGCGAATAGTACTTAGGGCCTATTCTGAGCGTAGCGCCGGCGTAAGATTTAAAAGTGCATAGGGACAAAGGGACTCTTACACTCACGATGCTCGGACCACCTAGGCATTCGATGTATTATCATTGATGGCGCGCGCGGCAATAACAGAGGAAGGAAGGGAGATTGAATTGCAACAAAGTGAGATGTAACGATCATTGGCATTGATTTAGTTTCCGCGTGGCGACGACTTATTATATTTACCGAATCCGGGGACACGAAGGCTCGACTACTGTTTCCTGGAAGTATCGAAGTAGACCGTGTCGACTGATTCCTCTGACATCTCTGCACTTTTAGCTTGTGGGTAGTCGGCCAAGCGTGAAAGGCGCAATGTAACTATAACTATGTATCTGATTACTTTCAGGAAAGCAACTGACCACCTTTCACTAATTGATATGGAATTTTAAAGAAATAGAAAAGAGGGAGAGGAAATCCCAAGTATGAAATATTAATTTTGGGTATTTATTAGAGTAATAGTAGCGCAAGACGCCAACATCGCTCATTTGCATAAGATCGACAAATGTTATAGGAATGCATACTTTGAACGGCTTTTCCCTTTGGCAAAAATGTCGCTTTCATTTAGTTTCCAAGATAATCGTGAACAACTTTTACTACAGCAGGCCTTCTCGCGGGCTACAATCAGTACCGGCGTGACCGTGGTCAGAGGGGCGGGCAAAGCCACGGGCAGCTGTCTTCGGAGCGGGAGAAATGGACTTGGTTAGTGGATAGGCTCGTGTCACACGCTTAGACTCATAATATAGCACTCATTGCTTGCTATGTACTCTCCTCCACGTTTAAACGTTAAACGACGTTTGGTAACTTATCAAAGTGAGATAGAAATAACAAGTTGACGCCCATATTCATACCCTATCGTTGTATTTCACTCTGTGGTATTTAGTTTTACTTATCTAGTTTTACCGACTTAATGTAACTAACAAAATTAAAATAAGATCCGGGTCTAGATAGCGGCAATAATCTAATTAGTCAAATCTCTTAATCGCCGATCTACTCGACAAATCAAAAACTGAGTTTTTGTAAAAACGGTCGAATTTTTCAGAGAACCGAGTGTTAGGTGAAAACTAAAAACGATAGGCAGTTAAAATTTGTCGCAGAAAATAGAGGAGACTTGCCCGAATATGTAGCTGCAAAAATTTTGAATTTTTCGTATCATTAAATGTTTGTAAATGATGATCAAAGTTTAAAACGGGGTAGATGAGCATACTTTGTGTGCATTTCTGTTAGATTTCCATGAAAAGTGGGTTGGATTTATACCACTTTTAAAAAATGGCTCCAATGTTGACTGTAAGTAACCTCTCTTAGAATAGTGTATGTATATTATCTACGAGAATCGATTGTAAATGTTTCAATAAATTAAAATGAAAAAGAACTTCAATGTTAGATAGCTGTAGACCCATGCAAATACTGTTTTATAGATAACTCAGATTACCTTCAATAAAAATAATGAATCAATTAATACTATTTGAACTACATAGAAAACATAGAAAACATAGAAAACATAGAAAAATGAAAATCATTTCGAATAAGTAAATGTACATATATACTATGAAACAATAATTAAAATGGAAACATTCGGTTGACGTCACAAATGATATGATTCATGAACCATACCATGATAAATATAAATTGTTAATATAAAAAGATTAGTGACATAAAAGAAAACTGATAATTGTGACGATAATATAATAGACATGACCTTCATATGCTGCACTAGTGAGTAAGATTACGTTAAAAAAGTTATAGATACTATATTACTGATTACTGATTACTGCAACCAGGACGATACATGCGATATAAAGCTCAATCGTACGAATCTATCTTATCAAAGTTGGAAAACTAGCAGACTTTATAAGGAAATTAAATTTTCTTTAGACACAGTTATTATTAATACACTGTCCTGGCAGTTACGTTGAATCTGAGGTGAATAAGTGTTATGGATTTAATTGTAGCTTCAATGGCTGCTTTGGTGGCGGCTTTTGTAAACCTCCGGTATGTGAAAATATAATACACGAGTGGCAATACCGTGGTACTCGTTAAACTGTTCAATTTCGGGATGTAGCATTAAAATTCTCGCGAGTAGGGTAGTGTGGTTCTGCCAGAAATTGGCTGGAACACAACGAACTCAGCGAATTGGTATACACAACTGAGGAGAAGCGAAATCGACGCGCTACATCGAGCATCGACAGTCGATATTCGGCACTTTAAAAGGATGCTGCGAATCTAAAACATAAACCTGCAGTAATGAAAATATCACTTTTAGTATTGTTAGTCTTACCGTCTTGAAAGCAGTGCCAGGGAAATGTAGAAATTCTTCTGATTAAAATGATTCCAAACACGATGTAAATCAGTCTAGTTCCACAGGTTTGAAAGAAACGAACTTTTATTAATTTCGTTACTTACATTAGATCGAAACATTAGTCCGATTTACATCGTGTTTGGGTTCATTTTAATCAGAATATTTTCAAAAATCTATTGGTGTTACTTCTTTAAAGGTAAGGTGGAAATAACTGAAAATAAAATTTTCTTTTTTACACGTTTATTTTCGTTCAGTTGCGGTATAAGCTTTGAATTATCGAGTTTCGATTATCGCATTATGAGCTACTTACCCCCTTCCCTTAAATGCAATTCGAGAAAAAGTATACATATAGTTAAATAAATATTGGCGTCACAATGGGGTACGTACTGGTTCCGTATTTAATTATCAACGTGACTACACAGTTTTAAAGAAGATAACCTCAAAAAG